CATTGAAATAATCGACAAGCTCGTTCCATTTCTTGAATATCCCCCGGAGAAAGAAGCCTCCAGTGCGGGATATTTTAGCCGCAAGAATTTTTGCAATTTCTAGTTTCCTGTAGAGCCTTTCCTCTGAGGAATACCCCAACCCAAAAACACCCGGTAAATGGTTAATCATCAAGAAGTGTCTTTTGATAGTTTTTGAGAAGTAGTTACATCCCTTTATACTGGGCAGAGCTGTGCTCGCCCCACACGTTTTCTGTTGTTTTTTTATTTTTTGTAGGAATTATCCCCACATCAACTTTCTCTCTGACCACATCCTTTTCACACACATCTGAGTTTACTCCCCAATCAAAATCGTGTTCTAATATAGGGTGACAGGGGATCCCGATTTCAACCTCCTGCTCCACCTCTGGCTCAACATACTGGTCCCTCAACATACGGCTCAACGTCCTGCACAACCAACGCTGACCTCTGTGATGCCTCCCTTTGCTCTCCCAACACAGCCAATGATAGCATAAATACCCTCGCTCTCTTACAATCCCTCTCCCTCTCCAAAAACCCCTCCAACTCGCCGTCTTCAGGAATGGGCTATTTAAACATGCGACAAGCTCGTTCCATTTCATGGATGGCCCTAGGTGTTAGGTAATTCAATTGAGTTATAACTCGAGACTGGGTGACCAAACGACACAAATTTGTTAAAGAGCCACCTGCTCGGGAAAATCAAGCTGCTAGAATTTTTACGTCTTCCAATTTCCTATATAAAACTTCTTTAGAGGAATATCCTAAACCAGGGATACTCGGCAAATGACTCAAAATGACATGCCTCTTAAACATTTTAGAGAGGAAACTACAAGCAAGTCGTCCTTTTTTATTTCTGGTCATCTCCAAAACCGATTCCTGACCAACCTCCCCACTCAACTCTTTGACCTCATACTTCGTCTCATCCAACCTTCCCGTAACCAACGTATTACTAAAACTTACCAAACTTAACTCCGGTGCCGATTCCAATTTAAATTCTGGTCTTAACATCGGATTTATCGGAATCGTCCCCTCAACCGCCATCTTCTCGACAACCTCAACCATCGTATCCTCAACCGCCATCTTCTCGACAACCTCAACTACCGTCTGCTCGACCACGACCAACGACAATCTCGCTTCCTGCTCCTCCTCTGCCTTCTCTTACAAGTAGCTGCCCATTTAAGAAACTCTTCAACCCTCCCCCGGTGTCACTTGCAATAGATCTTTCTCCTAGTTCTCTGCCTTCTCTTGCATTTTTGTTTAATTACCTTAAACCACCCCTCCATTTATAATTAACATATGAAAAAGAGAAGAAAAAAACAGGGTTACATCTACACAGGACTAACTATCTCTTAATTATTGTCGGGACAGCATACACTCCTGGCATTTATAAATATCAATTCCTGGCGCTTCTTGAGGAGTTATATTCACACAATTACCGTGAAACCATTCCAAACAAAAATCACATTGCAAACCAAATTGATTCCGCCAAGGGTATCTACATATACAGTAAATGTTCCTACCTTTTACGATTCCTATCTATTATATCCCTATCACTCTCAATAGCTTTTCTACGTGCCGGGATTGCCCAATGTGGAACATCCTTCCACATCTAAACAGTGCTTTATCCGGTCATGGTGCATAAATGATATTGCACTCCTAGTTTGAACACGGTAGTCGATTTCTAAATCACTACCCCAGGACCCCGCCAATACTTATTAGTTTTCGGGACTTTCCTTTAGGTGTGCAATGAGGGAAATTTTGCCCGGGCCGCGGCGCTACGGCCTACTCTTATACCGAATTCCAACTGCCAAGGGATCTTTAACGTGTACGTCAATTTGATCGTTCCATCCGAACGACTAGACAGCTGTCCTTGTCAGGCCTTCCGTCCTGCATCACTGACAAGGGGAAACCACGCCGGAAAATGTAGATGAACTTTCTCGGCCAATGCAGGGATCGAACACCCGACCTGCAGGCTAGCCACGTGATCCCCTAAATGAGAAGTAAGATGATCAAAAGCCTGTTGTTGATCTGCACACCAATAAAATGAATTACAAGTTGATTTTATGTGTTTGTTAAGTGAATCAGTTAAAGGTCGAGTAATTTTAGCATAATGCATGATGAAGGTTCTAAAATATCCACAAAATCCAAGAAAACTACGTATTTCTGAAACAGATGTAGGAATGGGTCATCTTGTAAGGGTATGAATTTTATCAGGATCATCTGTAATACTATCTTCAGAAATTATATGCCCTAAATATTTTAACGATGCCTGCAGAAATTCGCATTTAGAAGGCTTTAATTTAAGATTGTGCTTCCTGAGGCGAGAAATTACTGACTCTAAACAAAAAAAGGTGTTCTTCAATTGTTTTAGAAAAAAAAAGCAATAACATCTCAATATAAATTAAACAATGAAATAAGATGAATGTCAGCCATATACCGCTCTATGCACCGCTGAAGATAACTTTGGGCGTTAGTTAATCCCAAGGGAATAACATTGACTTCTCAAAATCCTAAATTGCCAGTTGTAAATGCTGTTTTGTGTTTATCTTCTTCAGCCATTTCTATCTGCCAGTAATCATTTTTTACATACAATGACGAAAACGAAAAATAATTCGAACCATGAAGTGAATCAAGTGTGCGTATGAATCATAGACTATTCTAGAATTGAGTTTTCTTTAGCCCACACAGAAACGTGAGGGGCCATCTTTCTTTCGTACGAGAAGTACTGGAGAAGCAAAGGGGCTATTAGATGGACGAATAACATCTGCTCTAATCATATCATTACTGTGGTCTTTATCTTTTTGAAACATTGGAGGTGGAATTCTACGATGTCGTTGCTTAAAAGAATGTGACTTGTGTAGTTAAATTCAGTGTTTAATAATGTCAGTTCTGCCAAAATCTATGTCGGATAAACTGAAAATGTATTTAATAATGTTAGTTCTGCCAAAATGTGTGTCGAATAAACTGATAATGTATTTATTACCATGTAAAAGATTTTTAAGTTGATTAACTTCTTCTGTTCACTTTGAATGAATAGAATGAAAATTAAACAAATTATTGACGACGTCTACTTGCTGAAGTTGACACAGAACTGCTCTACCAGGAATAGTAATGTGTCTATCTAAAGAATTTCTGGCGTTAATTCTGACTTTATTAGAAGGTTGTGTAAAATTACATTTTACTGTACCAGAAACAACATGATGAGAATCAGGAAGTGATATATCATCTAAAGCCAAATAACATTTACCAGGTCACGGTTTAGTTGGTTTTGAAGTACCAGCCACAAGCATTGGCGAATTTGCAGGAATCTTAACTGGATTTGAGCTCGACTTTAATTTAAACAAGAAACTTTACTAGATTGGACATGTGTAGTTAAAAGTGAAAATGTGAAATTCCAAACATCGTGACATGATCTGGGAGGCTTGCAAATCGTCACTGCTACCAGGAATTCTAACAAGGTATGAAACACAAACACCTACCAAATCGTTAAGCGAATAAATCTGAAAATTAAACAAAAAATTAAACAGAAATGGTAGAAACCATCGAACCGGAACATAAAATATCATTAATTAAAATATGAGCAACGTTGCATGAATCAACTAAATCCGAGATAAAAGATGAGGCATTCTGTTGACATTAGGATTTACCGACCACACCGTGGAGAAGTCCTCGGAGAGTTCAAAGAACACTCTCGAACCCCTCTTCTGTGGCTGAGTTGTTGACAAGCGTAACAAATAGGAGTTAACCTAGGACGATAACCGCTTGTATTTGAAAACTGATTCGGGGGACGAAATGTGGGATTGAAGGGGTGGAGCAGGAGGAACATGAAGTATTATGTGGACGTATTATGCCGTCGCCCCTGTCCATCCAGATTTTCCTGTGTGGTTCCCCTTTGTCGGTGATGTAGGAGGGAGGGCCTGACAAGGACAGCCGTCTAGTCGTTCGGATGGGACAAAAACCGAGGTCCCGTGTATACATAAGAGTAGGCCGTAGCGCTCTGTTGGGGCAAAATTCCCCCCCCCCCATAGCACACTGTATGGCTTATGCCCGTCTTCATTAGCCCATTTCGGAGATGAACAGTAGGGCGTTAAACCCCATTTCATTTCATTTCCTAATGGACTGTCATAGATGTTGTAGATTCCTTTATTTGATCTATACACATATTACAAAAACAAAATGTTCCGGAGTTAATTGATCACTGGAATTAGTTATATATGTTAGGCGCAATCTTCACACCCCCCCCCCCCCGCGCATGCGCGAATCTCCGTCTAATTTCCATTGAGTAATCTGCGCGCGCGAAGTGGACTTTGTCCGGGCTATTCAATGGATTACTGCGATGATAATCCATCATGTTACGCAGGTAGTAATAGTAGATAATCCGCTTAATCTTACTAGGTATTCGCCATGGATCACTGCGTTAGTATTAGTCATTTCAATGAATTTTGTGACCGTCTGTTTACTGGTACAAGCACGAGCAAGGATATACGGAAAGAAAAGTATGACCGCATAGCCATAGTTGACTACTACTAAAAAATACTATGCTAAATCAATGGGTTGTGCGGTTGGTGGTGTCTGCTGGAAATACCTTAACCTTTATTTACGTGTCTGACCATAGATATCATTAGTGATTGGTTGATTTATTCTTTTGATTATGCACATGCAGTCACGTGGTAAGCACCGATTAAGATAACTAAAATTAAAAATCTTATTTTCGAGAACACACGCTAATTATGTAGTGATTTTGAAAATATTTCACTACAAAGTCAATAGGGGGCAGATCATATATCTAGTTACGTCTGAAACACTAATATCTCTAAAAACATCGAGGGGTAATTAGCGCAAAGTTGGCAATCTGCGCTCCAGCTTGATAAGCGCAGGGGTGAAGATTGCGCCTAACATATGCACAACGTGGAGGTCAAACTTACTTCCTATTGATCATAGTGTAACGTCCTACCCAGACACAGCATAGTGTCATAATAATTAAAATCAACCAGTCCATAATATCATTGATAATGTATTGGATGTTAAAACTGCAATAAAAAAAACTAACAGTCAATATGCTGATAGCGACGGCTAGCTTTATCACTGAGTGGAGTGTGTAAGTTTACCTGGATAGTCTCGATCAGTCCAGTGACAGTTAAAATGTCACGGCGATCTGGGCGAGGTTTTAGGTCAGATATTGCGACATGTTGAACACCGACTACTATGAGTTGATTACTCAATCAGAACACCATTTTAACTAGAGGACTAGATGAATGAATCGGTAATTGGTTATGAACAGGGCATGGTATATAGTATTATGTATATTATTGACTGAATGTATATCAGGGTTATTAGCGGATACAGGAGGTTAGTGTATACAATACAAACATTAATAATATTCTATGTTGACTGTACTATGGCGACTCTACTAGGGTATAATATAATATTATTAGCTAATACAGGAGGTTAGTGTATACAATACAAACATTAATAATATTCTATGTTGACTGTACTATGGCGACTCTACTAGGGTATAATATAATATTATTAGCTAATACAGGAGGTTAGTGTGCACATGTAAAAGAGAGAGAGAGAGGAATGTGGTTTAACGTCCACTCGACACAAACTAGGTCATTTCGGGACTAACACATGGTTCAATCCTATTTCAATAATTTGCTTTCGCGTAGGGTTCTTTAGCAGTGGGAGGAAACCGGTGGACCCGGAGAAAACCCACGAGGTTGGACAGACGACCCTATCCTTGTCACGTACAACCGGGGAATCGAAACCCCGCCAGTTGACTCAATGACAGACCGTATGATACAGCACGCACGTGCTAACCATTCGGCCATCCAACCCCCCATATACAATGTAAACATATATATAATAATTAGGAGATAAACACTTCCTGTTACGTATTTAGAGGGGGTTTATTGTCCAATTAACCATGCTTGAATCATTAGAACACGAGACGCGATAGCGTCGATTTGTTCTAATGGATAATTCAAGCATGGTTAAATGGACAATAAACACCCGATAAATACGTAACAGGAACGTGTTTATCGATATTGTAGCACAAATATTTGGAGATTTTCTTCGGAACTATTTAGCAAACATTTTTACACTCATTTTAAAAAGTCGTTATTTGGTCACGCGCTTGCATTCATTTTTCAAAATATTTTCAATAGATTATAGACTGGCCTCTAAAATATTTAGTGTATACGATATGTAAACTGGTTATGTTGACTGTACTGGGGTATATTAAACTGACCTCTAAAATATATAGTGTATACGAAATGAAATGAAATGGAGTGTAACGTCCTCTTGTTCTGCTCCGTCTGATGAACTTTCTTAGTCAATACCGTGATCGAACCCGCGACCTCCTGGCTAGCCACCGTGGCTTCTATAGTGTATACATATCGCATGATTCATCAACATTAACATCGCTGAAAAATGACGTAGGGTCGTCTGTTTTCTCCAGATCATCCGCTTTCCCAAAGACTCCTACGTGCAAGCGAATTATTGAAATGAAATTGAACCTTTATAGTCCCGAAACGAACTAGTTTGTGTCGATTGGACGTTAAATCCCATTTCTCTCTCTAAAGATATTACCTATCGCTTTTGAATGTTTTCACATAAAATATTGCACAGTAACTAGCTCAGAGCCGTAACTAGCTCAGAGCAGCGGGGGGTGTATGGTCGACAATTTTTTCACATGGGGGTTGGGGGGCAAAACGTTTTGCAGGGGAGTGGGTAGAGGGGGGGGGGGGTACGGTCGACAATTTTTTCACACGGGGGTGGGGGGCGAAACGTTTTGCAAGGGGGTGGGACTTTGCCCCCCTCCCCACCTCCCATCTAGTTACGGACCTGATAATGATGTCATTATTTACTGTATAGGCCCGTATTCTACAAACCTTCTTTCGGGCTTGGTAAAAATAAGAAAACAGTTTTATTACAGTATGGGCGCCATAGTTGCTGGTAGGCCTCTGTTAAGTTGCCTGGCAAACTATCTTAGAGTCGTGGTGTTTTTGTCGGTTTTAAGTAAATCGAGCGACTTAATGGTGATCTGTTGAAACAGAAATTGAATCAAATATTTTTTTTCTGTTTTTTCCATAAGTGCTGGATCCTGCTGAAATAACTGGTGTGACTATAGGTACATTTGTGGTGGTGTTCTGTCTTATAGAACTCGTACTCTGTAATTGGGAGCGCATCAAGAGAATCTGTAGCTGTTGCTGTTGCTGTGCGGTTGACACTGCAAATTGTAGGGAGACCAATGTCCAACTACCAATCCCAACCATAAGCATCGCAGATCCAGACAATTTGGAGGACCGAATTCGATATGGATTGGAACCGGACGTGCCGCGACCTGTCACACCTCGAGACATTTTACTAAATGAAACACGTGAAATCACTCCGTCCGATCCCCCACCCAGCTACGACGAAGTCATGGCCAATACGCACCCAGTCCCATCTGCGCCTCCAGAACAAATATTTTCATATGTGCCTTCCAAGCCCCTTTCTCCATCTGCTCCCGTCCAGCACCTGATTCCCTCAGCTCCAGCAGAACAAACACCGCCTTCCGCTCCACTGATATAGAATTACAGATAGTTAGCTAGGCCTATATTTACAGTTAGCTAGGCCGGACTTTACAGTGTGCTAGGCCTGGATTTACAGTGTGCTAGGCCTGGATTTGCACTTTCCACTGGAAAGAGAAATTAAACAATATGGAATACATTGTTACTACTACCGTTAAAAAGGTCGCGTGTTCGATCCCTGCTTTGGCTGAGAGATATTCTGGCGTGTCTCCCCTTGTCAGTGGTACAGAACGGAGGGCCTGACAAGGACAGTCGGGGTTTTATTGTGGAGAGGGAGGGGTTATAATGGTGGATCCTAACATTATGGACGATCTTAACTGTATGTAAAACATGTCGGCCTTGAATAGTCATGCACACTTTATTTATCTGTGACATAAATGAAAGCCGAGATCATTTGTTAAAACGGTCGTTTTTGTATTTTGTATGTGATATTTGATATAAATGAACTGTACAACATTTGATATAAATGTATTTATAACATGGACGAGAAATGTTCCTATGTTCTTTTCGTTGAATAAGGAGATTGTTTTCCCTCTAGTAGATTGGGTGGTGCTGAACCGTGCTATAACTAAACATGTTCAATGTTATTGCACTCTTTTGCTGGTTTACACTAGTTTTAGTAGAAATCATATAGAGAAGTGGGGTGGGTTTTCTGTGAAATAACAACGAGCATGTTGAGCAGGTGCCAATGTTAAAAGTCATTTATAGCACGCTTCATTCGTTAACAGGCCTCGATGTTAAAACCTGTTAACTCATGAAAGCCGTGCTATAAATATAACTTCTAGAACGTTTGATATAAATATACTTATAGAACATTTGATGTACATGATGAACATTTGATATAAATATACTTATAGAACATTTGATATAAATATGAAATGGAATGGGGTTTAACGTCCTACTGTTGATATAACTGAACTCTATATAACTGAACTGTATCGAACGTTTGATATAAATATACTTATAGAAGATTTGATGTAACTGAACTCTATAAACATTTGATACAACTGTACTCGACAGAACATTTAATATAATTGCATACTAATATATAGAATATTTTAGAATTAAATGTATCAGAATTGCAATGGTGTTTCGTTACAGTTCTGTTATTTACAATGGTTCCGGCAAACAAAGGACTCGAAACAATTTTCTCAAATGGGCTTTAGCGTCCACTGAAAGCACACTATACCATTTTAGAATTTTATGTCAGATATTCGCTAGACAGAATATCTTACGTGTGTAGAATCGAAACCACCACACCTAACTCAATGACAGACCTTATGATCTAAAGCGCGAACATTTAACCATTGGACCACCTAATTCCCGTATTTTCAGATATCTTGTTCCACCCTCTTTGAGACAGTTAAGAATTTCCAATAACCATTTCATTCATTTCCTGCAAAAGCTTACGAAACTAAACCAAATGATGTACTGGCATCTCCTGTCTGGATACATTTTGACAAATTAATGTTATGAATTAATCCAAAACTTCGAAAGGTAAAAAAAATGGGGCTGATATCTTGATATCTGAAGAGAGAAAAAAAAACATGGTGTTGTTACCATAGTTATAATATATCTAAGGAGAAAAATAACTTCCTAGACTGTGATTGACTTAAAATGTATATCTTATATTTTTGTTTGTCAGTAATTATGTAATATAATATATAATACAATAACGACTATTCAAGTTTCATTTGTTACATATATTCATAATAGTCATAATATGAATATATTCCACACAAATTATATACACAAGAGAGACAGAAAGACAAATGGGGTTTAACGTCCACTCCACACAAATTAGGTCAGTAGAGGTATTTAACAGTGGGGGGGGGGGCGGAGAAATTTCAGAGAAGTTTTCATATACTAGTGATATTATAGCGGAAGGGTGTAAAGTGTCTTTGTGCAGAGAAATCCTTACTTCGGAAGTGACATTTTGGCCGCAGTCAACATCAAATCTTCCGGGCAACAAATCTAAACGGTCAACCCCCTACAAAATTATGATGGGGAGCGATCCCCTGTGTGCCTGTAAAGATTGGAACAAGCGGAATGTTAAGCAAATAGCTACAGGCTGTGATGTTACAGCTATTCAACATTGAAGTCAATGGGCAAAGAATTGCTAGTCTGAATCCTGATATCTATTGAAAGAGTTGCCTCCCTTTAATGGCTAAATTCTATGGGGACTCTCGATTGTCAGTCTGCAACGTTCCGAATTGACAGAATTGCAATCATGTGAAACGGAATTCAGGTAGTTGTGGGTATGTTTCACCTGTCGGCTGTCATGGAAAGTTGAGATATTTTCTCCTACAGTCGGCGCATGCGTTTACGCGGGAAATGGGGTTTTATTTCAATAATCCGCTTGCGCGTAGGGGTCTTTAAAAGTTGGAGAAAACCGGAGGTCCTGGAAAAAAGCATGAGATTGGGCAGGCGACCCTACTCCTTGACACATACAACCGGGGAATCGAAATGGGGGTTTAACGTCCACTCGACAAACTATAATAGTGTTACACACCTTGCGGCTGGGGTTTAACGTCCACTCAACACACTATAATAGTGTTACAAACCTTGCGGCTGGGGTTTAACGTCCACTCGACACACTATAATAGTGTTACAAACCTTGCGGCTGGGGTTTAACGGGTGTTGGATGTTGATTTACATGCTGTAATAAACATATCAAACAATCAATAATTCCCTAATGAAAATGAACCTACACCATGCTGTTTGCTGCTTTTATTACGATTTCCCGGTATCAGGGGTCAGGGGAGGTTTAGGCTAACAGGCTACTAAGGGAATACCGGTATTTTATGTCCCATTCGAACTACTAGACACTTTTCCATTCCGGGTGATTCCCCGGTTGTACGTGCCAAGAAGTACGGTCGCCTGTCCAACCCCGTGGGTTGTCTCCGAACCCTCGGTTTCCTCCCACTGCTAAAGACCCCTACTCATCCTGTACTATTGATAATGAGAAACCAGACTGAAAACTCCCAAAAAAACTTCCCCGGCCTACACAGGCATCGAACTCAGTAAATCAACGCCATGCCCACAGAACAAACGGGCATCGAACTCAGTAAATCAACGCCATGCCCACAGAACAAACGGGCATCGAACTCAGTAAATCAACACCATGCCCACAGAACCAACGGGCATTGAACTCAGTAAATCAACGCCATGCCCACCGAACCAACGGGCATTGAACTCAGTAAATCAACGCCATGCCCACCGAACCAACGGGCATCGAAATCAGTAAATCAACTTCATACCCACCGGACTAACATAAATGTCAACATAACCTTTCATACAAAACTCGGATATTTAATTATAACTGCCAAATTGCAGTATTTTGGTTAAAATCTATCTGAAAAGGTTATAGATCATGCCCAACTTATTAAATAGATGTGTTACTGTTACTCCTTTCGCCAATTTTATTTCTAAAAGTTAGGTAGGCCTATTCTCGACACGACGTATATAGTATGGGAGAACGGGGCAGGTTCGGCCTCGGGGCCATGTGTCAAATTGAAATTATATACACACCTCGTTTTAATCATTTCATCTTTTGGATGTCCGAGTTCCTTTGTACATATTACAACCCTTACACACCATATCCAATGAAAAATATTTTATTTTGATACCTTTTGACCACTTTCCGAGTTTTCCGAGTTTTGTGTTTTCGTATAGGCCAAAATACAAAACTCGGAAAACTCGGATATTCGATTATAACTGCCATATTGCATTATTTTGGTTAAAATATAACTGAAAAGTTACAGATTATGTCCAACTTATTAAATAGATGTATTACTACAACTACTTTCGCCAATTTAAAAAAAATAATATTTTTGATAATTTTCCAACTTTTTCTCTTTCCGAGTTTTATGATTTGACTCGTTTGAAAACACAAAACTCGGAAAGGTCGGAAAAAATTGTCCGAATTTTTTGTTTGAATAGAAAACTCGGAAAATAATTTCCGACTTTTCAGTTTGAAACAAAAAGTCGGACAATTTTTTCCGAGTTTTCCGAGTTTTGTGTTTTCAATCGAGTCAATTCATAAAACTCGGAGATGGGAAAAGTCGGAAAATATATTCCGAGTTTTCCGAGTTTTGTACCTGACCGTAAATGGTCACGTTTTGACGAACTATGACGTAGATTTCCTCAATGGGATTCAGATTCGACAAGTATGAGGGGGAGGGGGCGTTTATAAGAAAATAGGTTTAAGATCCGGATTTCGGAGGATATGCATGGAACACTTAATCCACAAAACAGACGATATGTTGTTGTGGCCATTTTTTGTTTTCAATTTTATCTCCTAAACAATTTGGGGATCACGTGGCTAAGTGGGTAAGACGCTGGCTCGCTAGCCTGAAGGTCGGGTGTTCGATCCCTGCATTGGCCGAGAAAGTTCATCCAGATTTTCCGGCGTGGTTCCCCCTTGTCAGTGATGCAGGACGGAGGTCCTGACAAAGACAGCTGTCTAGTCCTTCGGATGAGACGAAAAACCGAGGTCCCGTGTATACATTGGAATGCACGTAAAAGATCCCTTGGCAGTTGGAATTCGATATAAGAGTAGGCCGTAGTGCCGCTGTCCGGGCAAAAATTTCCCTCATAAAACATTGTATGGCGTATGCCCGTCTTCATTAGCCCAGTCGGAGCAGAACAGTAGGACGTTAAACCCCATTTCATTTCATTTCATTTCCTAAACAATTTGATTAAATTACAGATTTATATTTCGTTTCGTGTTTTATACGTTCGATGGCCTCCGCTACATGAAGATATGGCCGACTGTAATTTTGACTTGATAACGTCAGTCATCCGATTACCCAATCAGCATCGGTGAGTAAGACGTTGGCTCGCTAACCCGGTGGGCATGTGTTCCATTCAGGTGTTAGCCGAGACAGTGCAGCTGGATTTCCCGGCGTGGTTCCCCTTTTATCGACTAACCGTGTATAAATGAATGTTGGTGAATGTTGCCAATTAACAACAGTCCTTCAAGGGTAAGACCAACGAATTTCAACAAGGTTTCCATAAATCTTACATGTACATTCATATATAATCCTCTCTGTGAAACAAGCCAACATATTTTTGTAAGCGAGAAATTAATTTTTATTAAAACCGGAAGTGACGTAGTTGGTTCAACACGCTCACTGGTCTCTATAGTAAGCAGACAGATTTAGTCTTCCCATTTAATGTAAACTTTAGCCATACCCAAGCTCTCTTGCTGATTTTTGAAACTTTTCTGAGGGGCGCTTGCTGCACCTATTAATAGCTAAACCATATCTAAGCTTAAATAACCAATTTTTTAAACTTGGGGTTGTACTTTCTCACTTTCTAACCGATGCAATTTTTTAAATTGTTTCGTTTTATGAAGGACATACTTCAAATAGGCTAGTCGCAATTAATGTGTGTCGAGCCACATCCAAGTTGCCAATTCAATTATCCTTCTAAGGTATGATTACTTCGTTTAATTGTGTTCCAGGACACACTCCGAATGGCGCATTCCGCCGGGAATATTTCAGAGGTGGGGTGGAGGTGGAGGCTTTCCGGACTTGTATTATTGTGTGTAATAAAAATAACAATGTTTGTGTTTGTGCTTTATTCCAGTATCACATGGTAAATGTTGCCATTATTCATTATAACAACAAACTGCATACCTATCACCAGCCTCAATAACACATTGAGTGCCAGCAGGACAGCTACCACTTGATCCACGTCCGCAGTATAACTCTTGGTTGTCATCGTCGATAACTGGCAAGCCGATATCACAGGCACCTTCAGTTGCAGGAACATCAGCTATAAATTAGATTTTAAAAAATGGGTTTAGCGTTTTTCTTTTTTGTCCTAACCTAGCATAGTGAGTTATATGGGGGAATTTGTCCGGGGCAGTCCAAACGACGAGAAACTTTTTACTGCTGGAGAGGGTATACCATTTTAACAAACCCTGGACCTAGCCCTAACACTTACCCTAACTTACAATCTCGCCAACAATCACGTGTCCTAATCTTATTTACATCTCCGCGACCTTAACGAAATCTTGAGCTGGCCTTAAGAAATAGATCTTGCCAGCGCCTTACCACAGGAGCAGTCGGGAAAACAGTGTGAACATCTTTTAGTTGTATGACATCTATGTACTTATTTTAATTTTCCCCCCATTTTTTGGATTTAAAATTTATGTCTCGCTTGATACCGTTCAACTGTTGAATTTGTATTTCAAACCATGTTGTAAGGTTCGATTACTCAATGCAACTAGATACATTTTTACAGTTTCACCAGAAAATTCGACAACATTGTTATTTGTTTGTCACAAAAAGCGAATAAACGGACATATTTTTTGGATTCAGATAAAAAAAAACAACCTAGGATCTAACAGAGCGCCGCGCAAAACAAGCACTTCGTATGTTATTTATAAATTTTATACACGCAGTTCTTTTGATGATAAACATATGTGACATTGGCGACGACATAATACGTTGAGTAGGATTTTCTCATATCTTTTATACAGTATTGAAACCTTTTATTGGAATATTGAATTGTACTGAAAAATCAATTGTAAGTCTGAAGGCGATCAAGGTTTGTTCGCGGCTGGCAACACCTGTTGATTATGGTAACTCGTTTCAAAATAATCTAACAGTCGGATTAATATTATGTTTATCGATCAAATGAATTTCGTACATCACAATCATTAAAGCGAGAATTTCAAATTTTCTAAGAAAGTCAAAACATAATTATTTCTATGTCTTTTGCTCAATAGGTTATCAAATCAAAATAATCTAACAGTCGGATTAATATTATGTTTATCGATCAAATGAATTTCGTACATCACAATCATTAAAGCGAGAATTTCAAATTTTCTAAGAAAGTCAAAACATAATTATTTCTATGTCTTTTGCTCAATAGGTTATCAAATCACTATTATACGATCATGGGCATTATTTCCCACCCTTAAAAATCTATGACACAGGAAATAACAACACAATTACCTCCCCTGTTTTGCTATTGACAACATGGGGCCGCCATTTTCCAACGTTGGAATTTGAAGTTAAAAATGATATTTTTGCCAATTTCTCAGCTGGCAATAGCGAATTATAGGATTAATAGGATTATTCTTTAACAAGGTAGGACTGTTTACGGATACCATCTATTTTAAGGCTTTATTTTAATACATTTTAAAAATATAACTTGGAAATTTGCAATTGCAACTTTAAATAACACACGTAGTGCTCGTTTTGTATATGGTGGTTGGGGGATGTATTGTAGAAAACATGCCCGTTATAACCCAGTATTGGACAAAAATATGGAAACTGTTGAGAACTACCACCTCGAGATAAGAAAATTTGAGAAAAAATTCAAAGTCCGCACATTGCCTATTACCCTTGATTAATGCTTTATTTATTTTTGAAGCGATAAATATAGTTTATTATCAACTATTATCAATTTAATTTACTCACCAACACAAACAGCTTGAGGATAACATGGTTCCCGTTTACAGATAACTTCTTGCAAACGACATTGAGTTATTCTGCCATTTTCATCCCTACCACATCTTACTGTCTATAAGAAAAATAACAAAACGTGTAAAATATATTTGAAGCTATTTTGGATCTTTTTATTACTTACGGTCGACCTACGGATCAATCCATTTGATTGTTAATTTATGGTTGACATTCAATGTGTCTGTCTGGTGGCGCTGTGGATTTTGCTTTAATAATGTTCCCAGCGTGTACGCGACAAGGAGTAGCATCGCCAATCCAATACCATGGGCTTACTCCGGGTATTCCGGTTTTATGCCACTGATGAAATATAAGTAAGATAGTTTAAAAATACGAGGTTAGGCAGGTGATCCCATAACTGTTCCAATGACAGATTGTATGCTCTTAATTTGATTTCCCCAAGAAATACAGTTTAATCCTGTACGTATTGGTTGGCCTAGATCTATTCAGATAATAATAGTCTACGACATTATTTGATATACAATATTACTTACCGCACACGGATAATAAGCATCAGTAAACAGCACACCTACACTCAAAAACTGAAATGAAATTAAATGGGGTTTAACGTACGTCCTACTGTTCTGCTCCGACTGGACTAATGAAGAACGATGAGGGAAATTGTGCCCGGACAGCAGCTCTATGGCCTACTCATATCGAAATCCAACTGCCAGGAGATCTTTTAAGTGTACGCCAATGTGTACATGTGACCTCAGTTTTCGTTCCATCCGAACGACTAGGCAGCTGTCCCTGCACCACCGGGATCGAATCCGTAAGTACCCACTCATCCTGCTCCCCTTCCGATCATAAGATTTGGATGTATATCACACAAGACCCGCCCCTACTACCTTTCGTCTGCGCCTATACCAACGGCCTGTTTCCACCAAAACTATTTTAAATAAATATAATTACCAGTAAGATAATCTGCTTTCTCATTTTTAAATACATCAGCTAAGCTAATGATTAAATAGCTCAGTTTTATGTCGTAAGTCCTTAAATTATCAAACTGATACAGTAGAGTTAAAGGTGACAACTTTAACAGATTTATTGTAAAATCTTAAGGTGTGTTGACAGGCATTCTGATTGGCTTAAAATTAACCCACGTCAGTGACACGGATATTGAGAATCAAAACATCAGTACTATCGCATAGCCAAACCGATCAGCAGTAAATATTCGCTTGTTCGCCAATATCATGGATAGGCGTGATATATAAATTACATTGTTAAATTGGTAAGAAAGAAAAAAACAAAGGGGGTAAAATAATATTTCCTATTTTGTGTGAATTGGTGCATATAAGTACGCGGTGGCATAAAATAAGTAAAAGGCGCCAATTCTGCTCGTATTCCTTTGGGTTCCTACGTCACAAGTAGAACTTTACCAGGCGTGCGTGACCTTAAAGGTTAGTCATGGTCTTAAGTGGTTAAAGACGGCGTTCACATTACCGCTGTGAACAGTTGGGTGCGTAGTATGTATCTAAACTTAAAGTAGCTAAGTCTCTAACTCAATATCATCCAAAATCTTCAACATTGAAAACACGATTTATTTGTCAAATTAAATCAACATTGATGTTGTGATCTTACCGGAAAAAGATGGGCTTTTGATATCCAATATGTAAGACAAAATAAACATTTTACCATAGGTACACGAATCGTGTACCATAATGCGCTTCAGTCCCAGTTGTAACAAGAGACTCGAGGGACGAGACTAGACACATTGCACCAAATCAAACGGCGTATGTAGACTGGAATAACCAGACGCTAGAAATTTGCACTCGATTGAGACTGCTGGCTTATTTCGCCGAACATAGCTGATTTGAAATTGGAGTAAAAACGGAAACCATTGAATGTAAATCAGTTTATATACATTCATATTACAGTATTATATGCGTTGCGACCCACTTTTGTCAATTTCTAGATCCCAAATATTAGCGATTTAGCTCCTTTAATCTTTGTTTGCAACAGTTGATTGACATAGTCGACTCAAATAAAAAAACGATGTCTTGTATGTAAACAAGAGTTTTCTGCGTCGCATATTATATATCTTTATATAGCAACAGTGGATTAACACAGCCGACTCAAATTTAAAAACGATGTCATGAATGTAAACAAGAGTTTTTCTCATTGCATATTACATATATATTTATGTAGCAACAGTTGATTGACACGGCCGACTCAAATTAAAAAAAAACAATGTCTTGAATGTAAACAAGAGTTTTCTTCACCGGATATTACGTAATATATTTTACTTTATATTAAATGACATGCTATGAAATGCAATGAAATTTGAGGACCCACTTGTTATGCAGCAATCGGCACAATGAAGACGTTTCTCCTTCTTTCGATCCCTACATTGGCCTAGGCAGTTCATCGGGATTTTCTGAGGTGGTTTCCCGTGTTCAGTGGTGCAGGATGGAGGGCCTGACAAGGACAGGTGTCTAGTCGTTCGCATGAGACGAAAAGCTGAGCCCCTTATGCACGTAAAAGATCCCTTGGCAGTTAGAGTTCGATTGAAGAGTAGGTCATAGTGCCGCTGCCCGGGCGAAATTTCCCTTATGGCACAGTGTATGGCGTATGTCCGTCTTTATTAGCCCAGTATAGGAGCAGAACAGTAGGACGTTAAACCCATTTCATTTTATTTATTCTTCTATTAGTGTTTAACGTTTTATTTATTTGTATCTTAACGCACATACAGGGGGGGGGGGTGTCTTTCCGCTTTACGCTCACACCAGGAATCGAAACCACGCTCGCAAGCCATAAGTCACTGGGCAGCTGGAGCTGTAGACCACTAGGTCATCCCAACACTCCTGTGTATACTTATGAATGTTGAGTGAAGCCTGCATTACTAGGTCGGGACGATTTACCCAATACAGTTGAAAACACTAAATATACTTCGAGAATATTATTGAGTAATATTTTTTCTGCTTCAATTTAATCAAATTGAAAACCTTTATAATTAGTATAGGTCCATTTCAATCAATATTAGTGTTGTTATCTTTAAGACAATACACATTGTATAATGTTATCTTTAAGACATAATACACATTGTATAATGTTATCTTTAAGACACAATACACATTGTATAATGTTATCTTTAAGACACAATTCACATTGCATAATGTTATCTTTAAGACATTATACACATTGTATAATGTTATCTTTAAGACAATACACATTGTATAATGTTATCTTTAAGACACAATACACATTGTATAATATTATCTTTAAGACACAATACACATTGTATAATCAGTACACAAGTCGTGTATTCTACGGTTTCGAGCGACATTTCTAATGACATTAGAAACAGGAATTAGGCGTAAATGAATATCGTTTAACTAGGACTGTTCATTACATCTGTTTTAAGAAAGCCTGCTATATATGTTCATGTCCACATTCTTTCAGGATTTCAATTATTCGAGCTAGGACATCGTTACCTCGATAAAACAGGATATGGATTAGGTAATTAGCGGCTAACTGACTTCCGTCCGATGCCTTCCTTTTCTCTGTTTGTACCTTATCCTCGTCAGAAATAATACAAGATCGACAGAAATAACAAACAAGGTCGCCGATGTTTCCTTTGAAATCGTCTATTAATTCTACAGAACGATTCCTCCATATCTCGTAGTGGGCGTCTTTCAATATCCTCTGCGGTACAACAGTTCTAGCTACAAAAGAAAAACAAAGCAGCAAAAATAAAATTAAGTTCGACGCAACGGTTCTGGCTATAAAATAATCGGAAATGAAGGGTAGGAAATGGCTATGTATCAGAAATTAGTTCAGAGGGTCGCTAAGCACTACAGCAAATTTGTAACGACCCTTAAGCTCCGAGGGTCAGAAAAACATGGGGTCGTGGAAAATGTGCTTTGAGTGTCGAAAACACGCCACTTGACTGAATTGTTTCACGCGCATTGAACCACTAGACAAACACGCCCCCTCCTTGACGAAAAACGCTCTAGCAGGGGCAAACTTATCCTACCAGCACCGCACATGCAACCCCAGAAATATAACGTCCACTCGACACAAACTAGGTCATTTCGGAACTACAACAAATATAATATAGTAATGGGCTACTGTATACCCCTGTATATAGATTGAGATAGCCGCCACGTGTTCTTATGGCGATAACATGATACAGCAGTAGTGTCTTTGGCATTGGGAGGATGCAGGAGTTTTCGATCTCACCCCGTTAAGGCGAGTCCCTTTGTACATATTACAACCCTTACACACCATATCGAATGAAAACGTCTTTATTTTGTTACCTTTTTGCCACTTTCCGAGTTTTCCGAGTTTTGTATTTTCGCATAGGCCAAAATACAAAACTCGGAAAACTCGGATATTTAATTATAATAGCCATATTGCATTATTTTTGTTAAAATCTAACTGATAAGGTTATAGATCATGTCCAAATTATTAAATAGATGTGTTACTGTTACTCCTTTCGCTAATTTTATTTCTAAAAGTTAGGTAGGCCTATCCTCGACACGACGTATATAGTATGGGAGAACGGGGCAGGTTCGGCCTCGGGGCCATGTGTCAAATTGAATTTATATACACACCTCGTTTTAATCATTTCATCTTTTGGATGTCCGAGTTTTCGATCTCACCCAAGTTATCCCCGTAAAGGCGAGTTGAGTTCCTTTGTACATATTACAACCCTTACAAACCATATCCAATGAAAAATATTTTATTTTTATACCCCTTTCCCAGTTTTCCGAGTTTTGTGTTTTCGTATAGGCCAAAATACAAAAAAATTAATAAAAACTGGGATATTCGATTATAACTGCCATATTGCATTATTTTGATTAAAATTTTCCAACTTTTTCTCTTTCCGAGTTTTATGATTTGACTCGATTGAAAACACAAAACTCGGAAAGGTCGGAAAAAATTGTCCGACTTTTTTGTTTGAATAGAAAACTCGGAAAATATTTTCCGACTTTTCAGTTTGAAACAACAAGTCGGAAAATTTTTTCCGACCTTTCCGAAGAAGGTCTCTCTAAGCTACAGAAAGCATCAAATCAATAATTTTATATACATGTAGGATTGAATTCTATTTTCCATTTTATTTATTGTTTCGGCAAACAGGGATTTTGTCGGAGAAATTGACGTCTGTGATTGTAATTAGGGTTATTACCAACCAAATTGTCAGGGTTAGTCGTGGTGTGCGTGTGTGTGTGGGGGGGGGGGGTCTACTTTTTATTCCACCCCTTTAAGATCAGGACGGGTGAGTATAGTTAAGGGGAGAAAACTCGAAAATGTTTAACTGATATAGGATTCAGACCACATTTATTTTCACCATCGATTTCAATGTTACTTCTGTCTCTTTCTTCGGCTTGTGGATTGCCTCTGTCTCAAACTATAATTTCTAGTAGTTCGTAATATTCTGTACATTTTAAATTGTGAATTATCTTTTCAGTTCCAACCAAATCATCTTTAGCAGACGAGTTAGAAATTAAAGACATCAACAATAACATTTATACGTTAAACTCCACCACACAAGCTTTTTTTTATCAACAAATTTATTTATCAACAGTGGTATAGATGTTCCTATTGGTGTAACCAAATCTCCTAGATATATCAAAGAAATGTATTTATCAACAGTGGTATCGATGTTCCTATTGGTGTAAACAAATCTCCTAGATATATCAAAGAAATGTATTTATCAACAGTGGTATCGATGTTCCTATTGGTGTAAACAAATCTCCTAGATATATCAAAGAAAATAACCTCATAGCACACTACATTAGCCTGTAGGTGCAGAAAAGAATGACGTGATATGTGTAGGGGATTTATGCTATAAATAGGGAGAGAGAGAGAGAAATCGGGTTTAACGTCCACTCGATACAAACTAGGTCATTTCGGGACTAACATATGGTTTAATTTTATTTCAATAATTCGCTTGCGCGTAGGGGTCTTTAGCAGTGGGAGGAAACCGGAGGGCCCGGAGAAAACCCACGAGGTTGGACTATAAATAGGGAATATGATAAATGTTCATCATCTGCCACCTTTGACACTTGAAAGCGGCATTTAATTAAATATCCTTATCATGACAGTTGTCATTTATGCGAGATAGTTG